TTTGAAATATGAATCTAAATAAAATTTCTATTAAATATAGTAATTTGAACTTAAGTTGCTAGTGTTGCATGGGGTAATCCGATGAGAGCTCAAATGTTCAGTTGAGCCGATACACGTTATAGTGCATTTGTGGCCTCCTTTATTCTAGTGAAATCATGGGACAAAAACATAACCTCACTTAGTTTGAGGATTGCAATATGTTTAGCAGCCTAAACCTGAAATGTATCCAGGAATGTTATGTCTTAACCAATAAACGTTGAAGTTAAGCGCCCCTACTTAAGCATGTAGGTGTTTAAGTGATGCAAAAAAAAGTGAGATACATTTAAAAAAAGAGAGAAATTACCAAAAAGTGAAAAATTGAAGAATTTTTGGAGCATAAAAGTATTAAGGTATGAAGATCAAAGATCGAAAATTCTGAAGTTTCAAAAGTTGAAGATATCAAAATTACACAAAAATTTGGTAAATTCAATGAAACCAAAGATCAAAATATCAAGAAGTGAAGAATTCTAGAGCTCCTTATTATGGTATCTAAAAGATATAATTCTCTAGTTTATGTATGTGTGGGTAGCTTTACAAAAATACCTTGAGGTTAAGGTAGTATTCTGTGGATGGATTCACATAGATGCATAAAATGAGCATTGTTCAAAAGAAATGAGCGCGCGTTTATGAGGATTGTGAGTATTTAGATTTGAGGGGGGTTACTAAGGAAACATTTTAGACACAAATGCATACGTTGAGATCTTGGCATAATGGCTGAGTTGGAATTGGATTGTTTTATGTGATGCTAGTAATGAAGGTTTAAGTTTGAACTCATTAGATTTGCTTGAGGGCAAGCAAAGCACACGTGTGTGGTATTTTGATATTGCCATATTTATACATATTTTAGGCAATATTTATGTACATTTCTATTAATATTTTGGTTATTTGCATAGAATAATGATACTTATAAGTTTAAATTGTTATTTTGCAGCCAAATAGAAGCATTTTCGAAGATAGGGACTGAAGTTGACATAATATGGAACTTTGGAGGATTCGAGAAAAGAAGAATGAAAAAAGTCAGCAAAAAACGTACTCACGACGTGAATAATTCATTATTCACGATGTGAGTGGAAAATTCTAGAATATATGCATGCGGGTGAAAGTGTCCTTGCCGAACACGCTTATCCCATATTCACGATGTGAATCCTTATGGTTCACGATGTGAACTCGAAAAATTAGAAAACTATGTAATCTCTTGGCCCTTACGACTTTAGGGACTTATGGCTGGTTGGAAGATTTCCAGAAGACGATTTTCAGAGAAGAAGAAGTTCTTGAATAGAGGTTTCAAACCCAAAGGAGTAAAAGTTCTTAATAGTTTATTTGTTTGGTACTTATAAACATGTTTCTTAATTTGATTTGTGTTTGTTTGATTGTTGCTATGAGCAGCTGAATCTAGCTACTCTTGTTTAGCTAGATGAAGCTTCATACTTATGGATTAGTTTATTGATAATGGATTTTCTTAGTTGGTAAATTGCTTGTGCTCGATTTGTTACTACCTAGCATGTTAATAATTGTTACTTTAGTTACTTGAATTCATGTTCTGTGTAGCTTAGTGACCATTAAACTGAATGAACTTGTCTACATGGTGATTTAGTGAACATTGAATTGCTAGAGTTAGGATCGAGCAAAATCCTAGAGAGTAAGTGAAGTAAATAAGTTTAGTTGTGCTAGAGAACATAAATTATGATCATAGTTGTGTTTACATAATCTTACATAACATATTCTTTATTATAACCAATTTCATGTTTAATTGTGTGACCATGCATAGTTTTACATGAATTAGTTAATTATTGGTAAAATTAGACCTAAATTACTAATACAATATAAATTAGATAGCCAACTTTGATTATCCATAATTGTTAACTAACCATAAAGAAGAAGTGGATTCGAACTAAACAAGAGTGTCTTTAGTAATTGATTGAAATTGAATTAAGTTCATTTGGTCTTGCAAAATCAGATAAAAACCCTCATTTCGTTAGTAATTAGGTTAATTTAGGGATAAATAAATTAATTAGTTAGCAGCGTTCCCTGTGATCGACAACCAACTTACCCAACTATTCTATAATTGGATTAGGTACACTGCCTAGGTGTATTTTAGTTAGTTGAATTAGTTAGGTATAAATATTAAAATTTGTGGGTACTTCTGTGCACATCACCCATGGGAAACTACTCATACCAAATTTGAAGCTAATTGAAAAATCCACTGCTGCTCCTCTCAGAGTGTAGATTACAATCTATACACCTAGCTGGCAAATCTTAACAATTGAAACCTGACCTCAATGATCCAACCACCCTGAACTCAAACATTTTCTACCTCAAAGAATCCCTGGCCACAATAAAATCCCTGACCCACGGCTACTCGCAGTGGATACACTTGTTCTTTCCTGAACGCGTACAATATGCATCATCTCGCTCTTCACCTTGCCTTGTCCACCAATAAACTCAAGTCTCATATTTTCATACCGCAGATCCCCATAACCAAATCTTCTAACCACAACTTGAACAAATTGTTGATCCTTTCAACATACCCAATTCTCCCCCACCAATAAACTCAAGTCTCATATGTTCATGCCGCAGATCCCATAACCAAATCTTCTAACCACAACTTGAACAAATTGTTGATCCTTTCAACAGAATACCCAATTCTCCCCCACTCAGGGTTAAACCATCACCAATTGACATATCAATAGTCTACTCTACATATCGTTTTACCAGATACAACACTTGACTCTTGGAACATACTAGGTAACACTTGATGATCTTCCAAAGAAAGACAAAGCAAGTCCATATATCCCGAATCTCGGATGAAATCCTCGAAACTTCCTAATGTGACCGTCTCTAGTCACCTAAAACCTCATCCAACTGCACATGCAATTATTCCGACGGTCCTAAAATAGCACTTCCTCCTTTTTATGGAGATAATGGACTATCAAAAACTTCATTCTATGAATCCTCAATCATCACCCCCACTGAAATAATCAACATAGCACGGGAGACCTCACTCTCACAGTCGATCCGCAGCATAGCCACTAAAGCCATCATCCCGATTTACTCCTCTTGTGTTCCTGGAACAGTTGTTGGTATACGACATACCAACTCAAACAAGGCATACTCGAGCCCTCGTTGGTCACAGTCCACACTGATGACTCCTTCCGGACATAAGAATGTAACCCAATGCTCTCATACAACAAAAATACTC